TTCATGCAAATTCTCTCAGGCTTCTTAAATTGTTACTTAACTCATTTTCAGTTAACAAACTCAATTCAACAGTAATAATAGAGTACTTTCTGCTATTCATGAATCGAAATCCAAAATTAACCAATTAGATGCTCTGTGCTAGTGATAATTGTTCACATATGGTCGAAGTTTTTAATATAAACTATCTGAATTATAAAAATAGAAATAGATACATATGTTTCTTTGTATGACTGCACGCTTACTTCTTACAAATGAAATAATAAACATGCATCGCGTTTTAAAACGGTTTGAAGAGATCATATTTATAGCCGAGAGAATGCAGACAAAGGATCTTCGGACTGATCTTTGGATGAAATTAAATTAATTATAGACATTCAAAAAAAAAAAATAAAAAATTCCTACTAATTTCTATATTTCCACTGAAGACTATAACAAATGTGAGATTTTAAGTTCGGAAAAACAAAATAGGATATAGCATCATCAGACCGATGTAAAAGTTTGCCTCGGATGGTTCCTTTATGAAACACATGATTTCACAACATGATATTCAATGAGTAATTATTCAGTCAAGTGACAAGATTAATGACATTTGTATTATTTGTGAATAAGTTAAATATTAATTAGGTTTACTCAATGGAAAATTGACCAACAGCTGAAGAATGTATGTCGAAACATTTGGAAAAATAAAGATATCCTAAAATATTTTCCTTTTTATTTCATTTATTAATTTCGTCCAAAAGTCCTGAACATTTTTCCTTATCCATGATTATAGCATACCGTGGAAAAAATTGATGAGTGTGTATGTCTGATTATGAGTGTTTTGTGTGAATACAAGGTTTCGTCAACGATTTCGGGCGCACGGATCGAAGACATTCTATTCCTACTGATGAAGAGATGTGCTGATTAGTGTTTGGCAAAGATAGACCCAACCGTTTTGGAGATACTGAGCAAACAGTGCAAGAAAACAGTTTTTTGCGAGAACATCGCATCCAATTAGATTGATTCAAAAAACATTTCACTTGTATTGATTAAGTTTTTAGGAAGGCAGATCTACCGGTTTTGAAGATCTATGCCATTTGGCGGTTATGAATGATCATTAGACATATGTACATATAATTATCACATTTTTATAGAGATGTTAATAATAATTACAATATTTGTTTTTATTTCTATGGGTTCCGTGCCAAGATTTATAGTATTTGATGTTCAATTATATAGTTTAATAATGTCCTCGGCATTTTCGACTACTAAGAGTAAAATTGGGATACGAACCGTATGAATGACTTGAAATCTGTGGCTGGTTTCGAATTTCAAAAAAAACTTGAATATAGTTTTAAGCTAATAAAAATTTGTCAGTATTACATATTAGTTAATCCATTTTGTTTTAATATTTTAAATATTATTCTGCATATATGAATTCAATGCTGTTTGTTTTATTTATTTCTTTATACCTTAGTTTAGCTCACGTATGATAGAAATGTTTGAATAATTTACAAAAACATTCATGTATCTCAACATTGAAACTTTTTTAGATACGCACGTTCGACTTTGATAAAAATGGTCAACTACAACATGATATATTGATAATTCGACACCGCAAAAATTATAAATAATATTTCATAGAAATGTTTACAGAACAATATAAAATATTTTAATAAGTGGTTAAGGACCTCGGTCTAGCAACCACAAGGTTGCGAGATCAAGCAGTAGTGATATACTTTCAAATGATAACAAAGATCAAGAAATATGGGTTCAAGTAAAAATAAAATCAAAAATATTTTTTTAATATATTTTCACGTTTCAAAATCTTCTGAACATTTTGGCATACCTTACAATTGAAATTCCTATGCGGATACAATTTTCCGTCCACAATTTAGAAAACACGGATCAACCGATTTGAATGAATCAAAAAAAACATTCGATTTCTATTGATGAGGAAACATGCTGATTAGTTTTTGGCAAAGGCAGGCCCATACGTTACGAAGAATTAAAAAATTAAAAAATATTTTTTTCCAAAAAGCAATAGTTTCGTCAACACAAGCAGAATCATTCAAATTGGATGCTTAGTTCTTTCAAAAACTGCCATTTATTGCTCGGTATCCCCGAAACGGCTGGACCTGTCATTGCCAAAATGTTTTTTTAAATCGAATGTTTTTTTTAACCATTCAAATCGGTTGATCCCTGCGCCCGAAAACGTGAACGAAAATTTGTATCCATACATACATACATACACACACATCCATTTTTTCTGAGGTATGCCAAAACGTTCAGAAACCTCTGAAACGGGAAGAAATACAAAAATTTTCAATTTCGATTTTTTTGCGATTACTATAACTTACCCTACGGGAAGTTGATGATAGTAAAAAAAATTGATTGCCCCTTTCTTACAACGATTTAAAATTCATGCCCTCTACACTAGAATATCCCCTTCAGTTAAGTTAAATCAAATCAATTAAGTCATCAACCATAAAATAAAATTTCAAGATCGGTGCAACTAAAATTTGAATAATTTGAAATGTGTGAAACATTTCGTCCAGCATATATGTTCATTACCATTACATTCCATTACTAAATGTATTTATTTAATTTATCCAAATATTATCATAGCTTATCGATTATTCTGCAACAATCTCACTGTCGGTTACAAGAGAGAGAGAGGGGATAAAATATAAAATAAGCCTTAAATACCTCATATTATTATTATAAACTGGCTATCAGAATTTTATTTTCGATTAGCAGCGTCCACTTACGGCATAGTTGAAATATCATAGAATGGAATGTCACATAGGAGAATACACGGCCAGTCGCTGTCAAGGCCATTCTAATAAGCTAATATCATGCAATGAGAAAGACTACGACTATATCGTAATAATCGTAATGTGCGATCCGTGACCAGGACAGATCAGGCCACACCAGGCCAGATCAGGCCATGTCAGGCCAGGCCGCGATATCCTACTTCAATTGACACGGATACTTCCGAGGAAACCAGTTCAAATAGTAATAATCTCATTGATCATCAATTATTGTAGAAGTACAGTAGAAATGGTTTATTATGACTCAGTATATATTGAACAACCGTTTATTATGACGTATTAAATACACCATGAAGTTAGCAGAATTAGTACTTTTATGTATTGAATTACTTTTATATTATATACATTTTTTTAACTTGCCGTAGGATAAGTTATAGTAATCGCAAAAAAATCGAAAATGGAAATTTTTATATATCTTTACGTTTCAATGGTTTCTGAACATTTTGGCATACCTTAGAAAAAATGGATGTTGTGTGCGGATACAATTTTTTGAATTGATGGTTTGAATGATTCAAAAATCATTCGATTTCTATTGATAAGGAGACGTGCTGATTAGTTTTTGGCATAGACAAGTCTAGCCGTTTCGAACATACGGGGCAAAAAGTGTCATAAACGGTAACTCAGTTTTTAAGAGAACGGAGCGCCCGATTTGAATGATTCAAAAAACATTTTATTTGTATTGAAGAAATGAAAAATTTATGAAATTTTTGAAAAAGCAGGCCTAGCGGTTTCGAAAAACCAATAAAAAAAAGTTTTAAAAAAATGTCATTTGGCAGTCAAAAATTATCTTCAGACATATGCACATCAAATTATCAAATATTTTATAGAGATTTTAATATCATAAATAAAAAATCAAATTTTTTTGGGTTGATTTTTTTAAAAACATTAAAAATCTCAAAAATCAATTTTTTCAGTTCTAAAAAAATTGAATCTTTTTCAAAAAATTTAATTTTCGGTTCGGGAAGTTCCAGCAATTTGTCTTAAGGCAGGATGCTATGCACCACTAGTTATATTTTTTATTTTATCTGTACTATTCTATCTTACATTAGACACATAGAGGTCATTTTCGGATAAAAGCTGGATATTTCGGATAATAAAATTGTTCTTTAGCGTTTGTACCATTTGGAGGCTAGGTTTCATGCGTAAAACGCCTGATCGTGACTACCAATTCATGCGAATATAGATCCGTAATATAGCATTATCATAACATTTCTATTTTATCTGAAAAATTTTCATAATTTAATTCAAGCGTTAACAAATATTTGTAATGGAAATCATATCTTATCAAGCTTTGTGATAATAAAATCTGTACAATCAAATATATTTTGTAAGAATTTTGTACAAGATATAAAATTAACTATTTCGCATAAAATTTCTTTTTTTTGCCATTTGACTGGCAAAATTGGACATCTAGCAAATATAAAAAAGAAAATGGACTAGATGTAAGTGGCATTTCGCCTTTACACAAAGGGCACACCTGTGTAAATAATCGACTCAACCAATAAAAATTGATTTATTTAATTTTTTTCTGAATTTTCACTAAAAACTGAATAATTTAATTTCCAATCGATATCTTTCAAACAAACTGTGATATCTGCAATTATTTTAACTAAATTCAATTTATTTAAAACAATTCAATAAACTAGTGTTTTATAAATGCATATGATTCAAATGTGGTGCATGTTCTAAGAGCTCGACTCATTATTTCAAACTTCAATGAATTTTTATAATTGAACTACTATTTGCAAACCTAAAACATGTTTGATTAGACATCTCTATATCACTGTGCAAAGTTTTATCAAAATTGCCAAATAAAAATTTCCAACAATTCAAAAAACAGCTCTGCCGACCTTTACTTAAAACTAATCAGCACGATTCCTATATAACTGATATTTTTCTAACAAGGGTTTTTAAATTTTCATGATAGGTTCAGATTTTTTGGTAAAAAGGATGAAAAATGTTGATAAAAAAATTGTGCACTTATTAAGAAAGTGCTCAACTGATTGTCTAGTTTTTGAGACAACGCCAAGAAAGGTCAAATATTGACCCACATACCCACCCACCCATATAAGTCGCAAAGAATCATGAATGTTTCACCACCTTCATTTACAAAATTTATGCAAAATATATTTAGATTTTGATATGCTAATATTAACTTTTAATGTTTTTTTAATTTAGTATACTTACGCTTCGCAATATGGTTGTTTGTTGTATCCTTTGTAGGTCTTCATGTTTAGGGTCATGCCACATCCTTGACATTTGAAACATCCTTTGTGCCACACCTGAAATAGAAATCGAAGGTGAAAATGACAATGTACTACGAAAATAGATAAACATCAATGCAAATTGAGTTGTAAAAAAAGAATGGCAAACAAATAAAATATTATATTTTATATTTTTAGTTGTTATTGCAAAAGAGTGGTTAACACATTTTGCATATATCATTTTCCATATGAATGCACATGGTGAACAATTAAATTTATAATTGGTTCAGTAGTTTATGAGTCCATTCCGGACAAACATCGTGACACGTACTTTATATTTTCTATATAAAATTTCTCGAGTCATGATGGCAATACTCCTCTGAAACGGTTTGACCAATTTTTATGAAATTTTATAACCACATTCAGTATGTGATTTTTGTAAAAGAGATCACAATTTAAGATTTTAATAATGATATAAGTAATGATATAATTTTTTATCCTTATTTCGTAAAAGCCATTTTAGTAATTGAATAATTTTTCATCCCTCTGTCAGTCAATACATGTTTTTTAAATATGGATTTATGAATCCCTATCATCTTTGAAATAAGAATTTGTGAATTTAAATAGGAAGGTGTACAAATTGTGAATTGGTAAAAATTTAGAGTTGTATTTATTTTCAATAAAGCAATAAAAAAGATAAAATAAAGAATACAAGTAAAACTTGTAAAAACTTTACTTCAAATTCAAAAATGGAAAATATGTCTCGATGAGAAGAGCTTTGTAAATCATTTCATTTATCTAACTTTTAATTTTATTAATTTAATATTTATTAGAAAAGTTGTTGTGATATTAATAGGTGTATCAAATTTTTGTGTTTTTTTTTTTTTAAATTATTTGTATAAACTGAAGATGGGTCAAATTAGTTTAACAATGAAGACATTTTTTTCACAAAAATTGTTTTAATTATTCAATGGATGCCCAAGAACAACTCTATATATGTATATATTATATATATATATATATATATATATATTAAATTTTTTATATATATATATATTATATATATATATATATATATATATGTATGTATATATATATATATATATATGATATATTTAGATCATATAGATATGTATGTATATTTAGATCCAGCAGTTTGTGAATCGTTATCTTCCAATTACAATTTCATTGATTATTTAAGAGAATTCTTTGATAGCATATCTGAGATCTGAATCCGCTTTCAAGTATCTATAAATCAACTACTTCAAAGAACAATTATTTTAAAAATAACAATTAGGCCACCAAAAACAATGAAATTATATCGTTTTTCATTGAAAAATATATATTTATAAAAAAGCATTTGAGTTTAAACACGAAAACAACGGCTTTTTGAAACTAACACGTGTGTGCATATGACTACATGTTTATACATACATTTGCTGATGCATACTCTACTCATACAATTTATATGGTCGGGCACAATTGAACAAAGTTAATTCTGAATTGATGGGATGAATTGCGTAATTTCATCATATATATATATATATATATATATATATATATATATATATATAACTTACAAAAGAAACACATCGGTATTACAGAAATTGCAACAATAAATCACATACAATAAACAAACAATAAATCACAGACTTGGAATATGTCTCCAAGTAAAAATGCCTTTAAATAAATATTACTCAACAACCGTTGGGTTGCCTCTTACAAAGACGACCTTGCAAAAAAGAAGTTGTTCAAAAGTAATTATAAAAATACATTCAAGCTATATTTCAACTCAATTATTTTTCACGTTTTTTTTCAAACGCTGTTAAACTTTGTATATAGTTTGAAATAGTCATTCACATTTCAATCGTATGTTCCCACAACATATCGAATTTGTATAATGAAAACGATGATTTCGAACGCCCAAACAAAAATGAATCATCAGAAACATTTCCTCGTATTTCGTCTGCAAATTAAACTTTAATCAATAAAACTTTTAAATTATAACTGTATAAGAGTAAACTAATCGTAAAAGACCGAAATTCCACGTGGTTATAGCTATAAACATAACATAATAAATAAACATATATAATTGAAATATGTACACATATAACAGGTTGGCCATCCAATGTTTTCAATTTCCTATGTAAGTTATAATAATGGAACAAAAATCAAAAATGAAAATGTTTGCATATCTTCACGTTTCAGAGGGTTCTGAACATTTTGGCATACCTCAGAAAAAAATGTCCGCGATTTGAATGACTCAAAAAAATTTTTGCTTGTGTTGACAAAACAATTGCTTTTGGGGAAAAAATATTTCAGAATTATCATTTTTTTTAAAAAAAATTTTTTTTTGTATATCGAAAACAATTCAGATTTTAATTTTAATTCTGGCTAAGGTTCTAAAGCTCACTTATATACTTTAAATAAATAATTTTAACTTTGCAATTCAGTTTATATAATTCTTATAAATATTAGACAATGTTACAGTATTTATAATAATCTATTTGAAAACATTTAATTTTCCTCGAACATTTCATTACAGTACGGGAAGTTCCAGCAATTTGCCTTAAGGCACGATGCCATACACCACTAGTTTTCTGCATTTTTTTTTCAATGGCAGCCAAGAAAACCGTTTGAATGAAATTATTTGCCATTATTAACCGGAAATTTGAGAAAATATTCAGTAGCATTTTCAAAAAAAAAAAAAAATAATAATAATAAGACAGTTATTTGTCGGACCCCGTATATAGGTGTACTCATTTAGCGTTTTCTCTAAGGAATGAAAAATTAATCAGAGGCGCCTTGAATATAACATAAATGTTGATTTCTTACTACTGGTATATTGAAATTTTTTTCTGAATAAAGAAAGAATCATTATTCAACTGTGAGAACCAGGTACATGTATGAATGGCTAGTAGTGTCCAGCATTGCGTATAATCTTATGTTTCAATAACATACGTAATATATGCACATGTGAGTCACAAGGCAACTGTGGATGATATCATAAAACTATTAAGTTTATAAATATATCTTGGGCAATGTTTTCTAAGAAGCAGCCTGAACTACTTTGGAAAGACGATGCTCAATACGAGTACCTATAATCGCTACTAAGACGTTTTAGGAATTGCGTTCTGGTCAACAAAATAATAGAACAGAATCATTACCCATCTGGTCAACGAGGGGAATCCGACTCATCAAATATATATATATATATATATATATATATATATATATATATATATATATAAATTATTTTAGTTTAGAAAAAAAAATGTTAGCATGTCATTTAACATAATCAGTTTGACAAAAAAAAATTGCTGAGAAATGTAATATCACAATGACGAATAGGAAGTGATTAATTTTGCGTGGAAGTAAGGCTTACGTTTCAAATGTAAGCAATGATTGTACGCCAAATGATTATTTTAATCTATATATATATATATATATATATATATATATACGTATATATATATATATATATATATAAACGAGTGTGTTGAGTCAGGCAATAGCACCAAGTAAAAAAAAACTAAATCAATTAGGAAATTTAGCTAATTAATCCATACATTTCAGTCTTCATCGAGACCGTCATTCAGTGGAAAACTGGAAAGTTGTTTATAATTAATTTAGAAAATGAAAATGGATGTAAACATATTGGACATAAAGATAGGTACTTACAGACTTTGTCTTTGTCTTCTAAACTACTGAAACCGATTTTAAATTTTATTGGTTCACTATGTGTATTTATATCAGGATTAGGTTATAGGCAATATTATAAATTTCATTTTCCAGAAACTTCAATTGATTTTGACATTTAGGAAACAAAACACTAGGAAATCACAGTAGTCAATGTTTCTAGAAACATCGTGATCCATGTTACGCTAAATATCATATATTTGTGCCCAAAAATATTACAAAAAAAAAACGGTCAACGCAGTTCAGAAAATCAAACGACAAATTCAAAGAGGAATGAAATATATTGCAAGGTAACTAATGTTATGTAATAAAAAAAAATACAATGATAATATCAATTATATTTGAAATAGTACATTATTTGTGAATGTCAGAATGTAAACTCAGAAATTTGAAAAAACAATAAATAAAATGGAAAATACAAAGTAGCTAAGATATTATTGTGACAAATTAAAGTAAATTAATCGAATAAGAAAAAAATAAAACTTTTATTTAAAAAAAAAATAAAATGGTTAATAATAGCTACCCAGTAGTTTTTCATGCCCTAATTCATGCAAACATATGTTATTTTATATTTTGGGTCATTTAAATTGACCCATTTGTTGTTTTTGTACATATTAATTAGATATAATAAATTAGTGGTTTCCAAACTTTTCGTACAGTTTTTATAAAAAAAATGTTTGCGCCTTCTCTTAATTTTTATTTAATTTTTTGTGTCAATATTGCAGGTTTTCTTTGGAAAATAGTAATCTGTACCTTTGCTAGAGCCCTACAGATTAAAAACCACGGTAATAATTTTTTATCCATATAATTATAATTATATAATTATAATTATCAGGCAACAAATTAATATACATTATTATGTGAAAAAAATACAGAAAAAATAATTAATTTTTCATTAATTTTTTATATCATTTCAATATTGCAGGTTTTCTTTGGAAAATAGTATTCTGCAAGCAGCTATACGCCCCCTTTGAAACAGCCCTACAGGTTGAAAACCACGGTAATAATTTTTTATTGAAATTATTTAATAATTTAAATTTATTACTGAATTATTCTTGTTAATGAAAGAAATATAAAGCCGACTCTTTATCATATATGACAAATTCTGTTCAGAGATATTCCTAAAAATTGATCTGGCTTGATTTACAATAAAATACTCAAATATTTATTTTTATAAAATAGGTATTTTCTTAAATAACAATCTTATATAAGATACAGATTGATCTTATAAGGTATTTTAAAAAGCGAACAAGACAGCAACAAAAAAACTAGTAGTGTATGGCATCGTGCCTTAAAGCAAATTGCTGGGAATTCCTGTACTGAAAATTAAAATGTTTAAAAAAGCCTTAATAGTTTACGATTACTTAAAAAAATAGTTTTTTGAGAATTTTGATATTTTTGAAAAAAAAAAGACTTTTTTACTATGGTATGCCAAAATGTTCAAAAACCTTTCAAACGTAGAGATATATAAAAAATTTCATTTCCTATTTATTGATTCCGATAACTTATCCTACGGAAAGTTAATTATGTTTCAATAAGAATAAAACATTAAATATCACTCCAAAGAGAGAAACCTACAGTTTTCTTCGAATCGATTCTCAGTGCTCGAGTTAGACCCAGATACTATTGTTTCCGATTTGTGATTTCTATGAAGATATGCGGTATGTTGTTAAAAGCTAAGAGTGTAAATTTCATCTACGTAAAAAAGAAGTCATCGTACTAGAATTTGAACTGGTATATATGGGCGTGTTTGAAGATGGGTGGAACGCCGCTTATGGGTTATGAGTTCGGCGGCTGCTCAATACAATAGACGGCCATCCAGCCAGCCAGCCAGCCAGCCACGCTCCCAGAGCTGAACGCTCGACGATGGATCGACGTTCAACCTCACTTGTGCAACGATATGCGAATTTAAAAATTGCTGGAACTTCCCGTATCAAAAATTATTATTTTTTTTAAAACGAACGAAACTCCGAAAAATTTAGATTTTTGAGAAACTATAAATTGGACAGAAAATTACTTTTTTTAAAAAAAAATGAAAAAAAAAAAAATGTTTTCTTTATTTTGACATATTTTGAAAGATCTAAACTTTTTTTCAAAGCAATCGTACTGCTTTAACTGCATAGAGACAAAATATCGAAGCGCGTCAGCGCCGCGTCGCTGTCTAACGGATAAACATTGGTACGGAACCCATAGGAATGTAAACAAAATTTATACTTTCATTTTTGACCGCCAAATGGCATTTTTTTACTTTTTTCGTTAGATCTCCGAAACCGCTAGACTTGCCCTCATGAAAATTTGATCAATTCTTCATCTTGTCAGTACAAGTAAAATGTTTTTTGAATTATTAAAATCGGACGCTCCGTTCTCTTAAAAACTGAGTTACCGTTTTCGGCACTTTTTGCCCCGTATCTTCGGAACGGCTAGACCTGCCTTCGCCAAAAACTAATCAGCACGTCTTCTTATCAATACAAATCGAATGTTTTTTGAATTATTCAAATCGCTTCATCCGTGTTCCCGAAATCGTCGACGAAAAATTGTATCCGCACACACATACATCCATTTTTTCTAAGGTATGCCAAAATATTCAGAAACCTTGGAAACGTAAAGATATATAAAAATTTTCAATTTCGATTGTTTCGCGATTACTATAACTTGCCCTACGGGAAGTTAACTAGTGGTGTAGTATGGCATCGTGCCTTAAGGCAAATTGCTGGTACTTCCCGTACCAAAAACTAAATTATTAAAAAAAAACTTTGCAAAATGTTGAAAAAATTCGATTTTTGAGGGATTTTGAATTATTTTAAAAAAATTGCCTTTTTTGAAAAATTTGATTTTGTATTTTGATTTTTTTTTTGTATTTTAATTTTGAACATATTTTTAAGCCATCGCTCTGCATAGCTGATTTGAAGTCGAAAAATTAAAGCGCGTAAGCGCTGCGAAGTCGTCTAACGTGTAAACATTGGTACGGAACCCATATAAATGTGCACAAAATTTGTACTTATTATTAAAATCTTTATAAAATATTTTTATAAAGTTAATAATACTGTGACGATTTGTACCAACGGTCAACCATTGGGTTGCCTTCTGAAAAAGCCTAATCATCACAACAGCCTATAAGTTCAGATCTCTATTAAAAAAATACATACAGTTAAACCCTGTTCAAAAAATTTCCCAGCAATTAGATCAAAACGCGTCTTAAGCAAGAAAGCGTATTATGCGGGATGGATAATTTTGGCAAAGTGCAAGGACCGGCGTGAAGTGGCATTAAGCTTGATCGTCTTAACGGAGCTCTACTACTTATGTTAGTAATTAACAAAGTCTAATAATCGGGAATAACATAAATAAAAAAAATATTAAATTCAATTTACAATCCATGCGTTTCGGTTATAGTTCTAGCCTTCAGTGGAAATTAAAAATAAAATTTGAAAATACACAATTGAAATTGAAGGATTAAAAAAAAAGTACAATTTCCTAATGCTAATGTTTAAAATAGAAAATTCAATAACCAATTTCTGTTTTTAACACTTTGTAAGTTTTTTTAATTTTTCCATCTCAATTGTGCAATGACAAAACCAAATTAATAAAAATTTTGTAAAATATAATGTATTGATATTTGCTGCGCAAGCAATCTAAATAAATTTTTGTAAGTTCTAGAAATTCCATTATCTTTTATGAAAATTTTGAAATAAACTAATTGTAAATGGCATCTTGGTAAAAGACAGTGCAAGTTGTGTATAAACAGTATACTGAATCAATAAAAATTAAATTTTAGTTATTCTGATAAAATTTTATACTGCTTATTTAACAACATTTTCATTTTTACCGAAAACTAATCAATTTCCAATTAATATCTTTTATTCTTACAACATTTTTAATTGTAATAAATCAATTTAATTTATTTAACACACTTCATTTTAGTTCTTGTTCTAAAAATGTATTTTATTTAAGTGTGGACGTAAACGATAATCAGTAATGAAAAACAGAATTATTATTCCAAACTTTGATAAATTTTTATAATTCAACCACATATGGTAGACCTATATTTTATATTATATAATATTTTATTTTATTATAATATTTTATTTTATTAATTTCGAAGAAACGACCCGGCCGATCTTTATTAAAAACTAGTAACCAGCACTATTCCCAACTGATATGAATTCACGATTTTTGATTAAAATTTAGATAATCGTTTTTTATAATTTATAACAAATATAATAGTTATAAAATAAGCAATTACTATTTCTAACAAACTTACTGAACATTTTAATAATTTATATCGTCCTGAACAAAATTAATATTGCATTTCAAAAAAGGCGCTCAATATCGATAAATCAATCGTAAGCGATTCAAAATCAATTTATCTAGGAGATTGCCATATATGAATAAATAAATTTGCGCAAATACAAATACTATTATTAATAATTATAACTATCTTTTAAAATTTATTCTTTTATCCTTTTTCTGTTAAAAGATTCTAATTTTCATTTGATTATTTCTAGAACGATTATTATAACACCATATTTATATATTCAAAACATATCCTGTCACAGAATATTGCACGGCGTGGGCAACACCAAAATTTGTGGGCTAAAGCAGGCTGCGAAAACAAAAACCGCATGCACAAGTCGGCTCGTTGAAAAGGGTATATTCAGAAACTCGAACATAATCTCACAGCATCGTCCCCAAGGTGAGTCATTTTGTTATATTATTTAATATTTCGACATATTTAATAACGGCGAGTGTTATTGAAGTAGAATAATCATTATTTCATTGTTTTTCATCAATTTTACTTTGGTTCAAACGGACCGCCGGTACGAACGAACTACGGCGGACATTTTGTATTTCAATTGCACAGTTTAGATTTTGTTTTCAGGTTTAAAGACATTTATTCCTTGATCAAAATGAGTGATAACGTGCCGAAAAAAGATGTTACCGAGCAGGGCGACCAATTTGATTTCGAGGAGTTCGGGTATAAAAGTCATTCGTTTGGTATTAATGACCATTTTAATATTGCGAACTTTAACTATAGGAGGTATGTCCCGCTGTGCGTCCGCCGTAATATATTAACCCAAATGATCTCTGATTTCCCCGAGCCGATGAAAGAGCGCGTGAAAGCGTTAAAAGAGCTCCAGTTCGAGAACACTCAGTTGGAAGCTGAATTTTATAAAGAAGTATTCAGTCTCGAGTGCAAGTACCAGAAGCTCTACACCAAACTATATGAGAAAGTAAGAATTACACATGTTGTACAATATAGTATAAATACATATAACTAATACTCTTTTACTCTACAGAGGAGTGAGATAATTCATGGCAAGCGAGAACCCACACCTTCGGAGAGCTCCTTCGATATCCCTGAGCCAAACATCGAGCCACAGTTGAAGGACAAGCTCTATGAAATTGCCAAGTAATGCAAGCGTTTAATATTAGCTTAGTCAACATTTTAATTTACATTCTCTCAATAGGCACAAGATGTCAATAAACACATCCTTCACAAATGACACAAAAGGTATCCCTGAGTTTTGGTTCCAAATCTTTCGTAATGTCTACATGTTGAGTGAGTTAATTGAGAAGCACGATGAACCTGTTTTGAAGACTTTGCTGGATGTCAAAGTTGACTACTTTAATGAACCAATGGTAAAGATTCAAAATACTTTCTATAGAAAAAACAAGTTTGATTTTATTTTTTCGGGTTTTCTAGGGCTTCACTTTACATTTTATATTTGGACCAAACAAGTACTTCTCGAATAAGGTGCTCACAAAGGAATATACAATGACTTGTGTTCCCAGCAGGGAGAACCCCTTCAATTTCGACGGGCCAGAAATCACAAGCTGCAAGGTCGGTATTAAAATATTTAATGCATTTTTTCATTTAATTACAACGTCTAATTCTTTAGGGCTGTGAGATCAACTGGTATCCCGAAATGAACCTAACAAGACTCCGAAAGGTGAAAGAAGATGATGAAGAAGAGGACGAGGTAACAAATAGAATATTTAGGATTATTCTTTATTCTTAATCTAATACTACGTATTTTCAGGAAGAGAAGTATTTAGACTCGTTCTTCAACTTTTTCTCCCCGCCCTCTCCTCCAATCGCTGGACAACTAGCAATAGATGAGGATGCTATTCGGCGATTATCCTATGATTACGAAATCGCTCATTACATTCGTGAGCGCATAATTCCCCACGCAGTGCTTTTCTATACCGGTGAGGGCATTGATGACAGTGATGAGGACGATGATGAAGATGAGGATGACGATGACGACGATGACGATGATGATGACCAAGAGGAGGTAATATAGTTATAATAAATCTTGTAAGACAGTGTTTTATATTATTTTGTTTTGCGCAGCTTGCGGATGTCATTCGCAAACACTGGATGACCACCAATTCCAACCAAACTGCCTAATTCTACATGTGATACTCTATGCATTGAAAATGTATAAAAACACGGTTATCTTGTTATTACATTCATAATACATGTTGTGAAGTTTCTTTTTGGGATGAAATTATACTTCAAATCCTAAATCCCTTCCCTTCCTAATTTTTTTAAACCTATCTATTTTCAGGATCTGATTTACAATGCTGATGCTAATCGCCCTGTACCTGATATATTTAGATTATTTTAATTATGTACCTTGTTTAAACTTACTGTGATATATGTTAATGAATTAACTTCAAAATTATTAGTAATTGTAAATTTGAGAAATTTTTGTGTGATAATCAAATAAATATTAAATGTTAAATTGAAGTTTTATTAATCAAACAATATGAAGTAAAATTACATAAAACCAATAAACATACAACAAAAATATTTTGAATAAAAAGTAAATATAATTACTAATGTAATTTATTAACTTTTCTTCAAACAAGCATTAATTTACATGAAATATCAGCAATTTTAAATATGAATAAAATGTTTCAAAATTAATCTTGATTTGGGTGAACGTTGTTAACAACCACTTGTTAATTTAACGGAATATTGTCACAATCAAATTCTGGAAAGTTGTCAACTTTTGAGGTTATATTATATGAAAAAAAATTGAATGATTTTAGAATTATGAACTTATTTAAAATAAATGTGTTAGTACATATTTTATAAATTTCAACTAATGTAAAGCTACATAAAATACATTGTTAATCAAGAGGACACTTCGTTATTTACAACACACAACACAACTTGCTACTGTAACAAAAATTAATTAAAAACACAAAAAAAAACGTAAAAAAATACAAAATCAAAATCAATCTTTACCTTATCTAAGCATTTGAATTCCTCTATTGGATACACAATTTTTTCACATCTAGCACAGGTCTTATTCATTTTGATCACTCACGACAATGTTTCAGACAAGAAATGTTTTCACTATTAAAAAATTTATCACAAAGAAACTGTATCGGAGCAAGGAACGGCGCCCGTCATTAGCGTAATTCAACATGTGATTAATATCTAGATTTGTTTAATGATTGCCACAATAATAAATTTATTAATAACAGATCAGCACAAATTTAATGAATGAATGAAAATGTGTTTATATTCAGTAGGGCCTCGGTCTTTGGTCTGTCTGTTGGTCTCTCGATTGTTGTACATTGGGAATTAAGCGGAGCGGCAAATGGCCGAAAGCGCCCTCTAGCGTGCACGGCCGATGCTCCTCAGTTTCGTACCATGTTTTCGATTTCGATTGTAAATGTAAATATTTAATTTCAATTATTAAATTGTTGATAAACTATGTGTGTGATTGGTATTTTGTTTTAAAGCAATTTGCATGCACTTCCCAACATGTGTAAATAATGAAATTAATCATTCATTCGGAAGAAGTGATTTGTAAGTATACTGAGTTGCTGTAGGGCTGTCAAAAATGTTCGTTATTTTTGACAGATAGTTTAAATATTACACATTATTAAAAAAAAGAAAGAGATAGCTATTGACAGATAGACTAACTAGTGGTGTGTGGCATCGTGCCCCAAGGCAAATTGCTGGAACTTCCCGTACCTCAATAAAATATTCGACGAATAGTAAATGTTTTCAAATAGTTTTAAGAATTATATAAACTGAATTACAAAGTTAAAATTATTTACTTAAAGTATATACATATATGTATATACGTATTATTATATTATATTATATTTTTGTACATTTAGCTCTGAATCTTCGAAATGACTGGACCTGCCTTTGCCAAAATCTAATCACTTCTTCCCATCATTACGAATCGAACGTTTTTTGGATCATTCAAATATTTTCTGCACTCTTTGCTCTGTATCTCCGTAACGGCTGGACCTGTCTTCTTCAAAAAACTAATCAGCACATCTCTATTTCAATAGGAATCGATCGTTTTTTAACTTCCCGTAGGGTAAGTTATAGTAATCGCAAAAAAATCGAAAATGAAAATTTTTATGTATCTTTACGTTTCTAAATATTTTGGCATACCTTATAATTAGAAAAAATGGATGTATGTGTGTGTGTGCGGATACAAATTTTCGTCGACGATTTCGGGAACACGGATGAAGCGATTTGGATAATTAAAAAAACATTCGATTCGTATTGATTAGGAGACGTGTTGATCAGTTTTTGGCGAAGGCAGGTCTAGCCGTTCCGAAGATATGGGGCAAAAAGTGCCAAAAACGGTACTTTAGTTTTTAAGAGAACGGAGCGTCCGATTTAAATAATTCAAAAAACATTTTACTTGTAATAACAAGATGAACTTTCATGAAGGCAGGTCTAGCGGTTTCGGAGATCTAGTAAAAAAAGTAAAAAAAAGTGCCATTTGGCGGTCAAAAATGATCATTAGACATATGTACATCAAATTATCGGATATTATATAGAGATTTTAACAATAAGTATAAATTATGTTTGCATTCCTACGGGTTCCGTACCATTGTTTATCCGTTAGGCGGCGACGCAGCGCTTACGCGCTTTGACATTTTGTCTCTATGCAGTTAAAGCAGTACGATTGCTTCGAAAAAAAGTACAGAATTTCCAAAATATGTCAAAATAAAGAAAACATCTTTTTTTTTAAAAAAAATCTAATATTTTTGAAGTAATTTTTTTCAAAAATGTTAATCATTTTTAAAAAAAATAATAATATTTGGTACGGGAAGTTTTAACAATTTGCCTTAAGGCTGGATGCCATGCGCCCCACTAGTTGAATTTTTCAAATCGGTCTATCTGTACGCTCGAAATCGTCGACGAAAAGTTGTCTTCACAGACACATACATATATTTTTCTGAACTATGCCAAAATGTTCAGAAACCCCTGAAACGTGAAGATATGCAAAAATTTTCATTTTCGATTTTCGGCCCATTACTATAACTTTAAGTTGTCTGAAACATAGCTCTGTACGGATCAGAGACATGGACTCTAAGAAAGGCCGGGAAAAATTATCTGAAGAGTTTTGAGAAGTGGACATACATGAGAACTAATGAAGTGCTGAAAAGAGTGAGCGAAGAAAGGACTCTACTGAGCACGATTATTAAAGGAAAAGGAAACTAGACCGGACCAGTTCTGCAAAAAGAGTCCTTTATACGAAGGTAAAATAGAACGACTAATTTATTAATTTTATGCGTAGAAA